GAAAAAACCAACTACTTCATCTGATGCTCAATCTAAGAAACAATAATCTATTTCAATACTGGAGAAATGCCTGACTGTATAGGGCTAGTCAGACATTTCTAGGCATTTTTCTAGGAATTTTCAAGGATAATTTTGTCTGCATGTGACTTTCCTCTGTTATGCTGACTTTAAGTTCCAGTCCTGAGGTCAGATGGGGTTCACGTGCCTGAATGGCCCACGGCCTCTGTGCTATGACAGAAGAGCTGGAGGAGGCGAACTCAAGATGATCTGAAGTGCATCCTCCCCTCCCCCTCCTCCAGGCTGCTTTTCGAAAGGCTCTGTGTGGCTGACACTGATTACATTCTATCCCTCAGCAATATCCTGTTGTAGAGATGGTGGTCATCATTAAACAAACCTTGAAGCAGTGTGACATCCTGAAAGGAGCTTAGTTTGAGAGGCCAGACAAGTCTGGGTTTCAAACCCATGCAGCCTACTGGTAACTATGGGGCCTAAATGATCTTTCTGGACTTCAGTTTCCTCATCTGTAAAATACAGATAATAATATCTATTTCCGTGTGTTGTTATGGAATTAAATGAAGCAAAATGTAGAGAGAATGTTTAGCCAAATGCTTGGCACATAGTAGGTACCAAATAATTGGTATTATTAGTGTTATAGGCACCTCTCACCAACACCAGAGAGGACAGCCCCCTGAGTCAGCGGGAGAGGGCTGTTCCCAACCTCAATCCTTGTCTTCTCATATAAATGAATTTATGTGAGAGATCTTGACTGCATTGTGAAAAGCCAGTTTATTATAGTAACTAAAGCATGCATCTTTATTGAAAAAGGCAAAAGCAAAGCAAGCGAGCCTATACATCTGGCTTATGAAGCACAGACGGGCTCAGCTAATCTGAAGAGCAAGTTGGTTGGGGGCCGGAGGCTTGTATACCTTCCTGTCTACAGGCTTCAAAATTCTTCTGCTGACTATTTTGGTACAGATTAATTCTCAAGGTCCCTTTTTTCAGTTTGTTGTGCCCCTCCCAGAATTCATGAAAAGCACCAGGCAGCTTTATCTTGCCAAGCCTTGAGACTGCTGGCTTCTCTGCTTAGGGAGTAAAATGGCTCTTTTTTCCTTTCCCCTTTCCTCCTCCCTTTCTGAATTCTCTCATTAGGGAGTTGTTGGTTGGGTGTTTTTTTGTGTGTGTGTTTTTTACCATTTGCTCTGTGTCCTTGTCTGGGGAAGATAATGGCTTGTTAGTTACAAGCTGGCTACAAATTGCCCACACTGTTTGGCCTTCTTTTAACTTTTCTCAGTTTCCCTATTCCTCCTGCCCTGGAATCTCATAACATTAGCATAATATTCATGAGATATGTATTGAACCCTCACTATATGTACTAGTCCTAGGTTTGCTGGGGGGTAAAGAAAATTATAACACTGTTCCAGAGCTAGTGACCTAATAGAAATAGGAATTTACATGTGAAAATTCAACTAACTATAGAAGAAAATTGAGTGTTATAGCGTGTGTACTCCAGTGCTAGTCAAGGTTCCTGTTCAAGGTGATTCAAGGAGCTTATGCCAGAACGTGAATCAATGAACTGCCTCCTCCGGAAGACAGTCTTGCTATGAAGAAAGATGTCAGCTAAACTACCCAATGTACTTAGTACAGCAGTTGACTTCCATTCTGGCCCATGTCTGGTACCCTTCTTGGTTCACGCTCTGAGGATCCCTGCTCTTGGAATCTGTTACATCTGCCACTTGGGGGAGCCTCTTCTCTTTGTGTCTGTATTTTAAATCTTTATAAGCAATCTAGCATAATGTTAGCACAAAAAAGAGAGTTTGCTAAATTGATGTCATACACTTTTTGTCCCATTAAATGCAATAATAACCCAGGATAGACCACATTGCTTCCAGCCTTATGCTTGAAGATGAGCATCTTCCATAGCTAGAAGCTGTTCTTTTTTCGTCACCATGATCAGTGGAGGTGGTAGTGGCAGTCTGTTCTCCCTGTCTCTTTGCAGGGGTTCTTAATCTTATTTTTTGTGTTATGGGCCCCTTTGGCCAACTGTTATATCTATGGACCATTTCTTCAAATGATGTTTTTAATCATATAAGACACAATCTGTAAGGTTACAAAGGAAACCAATTATATTGAAATATACTTATTGCAAGGTTAAAGCCAGTGGTGTGAGGGCAGGCTAAATAGCCACCTCAGACAGTGATTAAAGAAAAACTGAATTTATTTAAGGAAAAGGGGAAGGTGATGGGGATATCCAAAGGGAAGGGCTGCACAGCACTGAGCCAAAGGGTATTGGGTCCATGATGGCAGCAAAAATATACTTAAGGCAATGAAACAAGGAAGGGCCTAGAAGAAGCAGCAGGAAAACGCCTAGGCTGGGCTGCTTTGGCTCACTGAGAAGTCAGGAAAAGGGGGCTTTGGGGACCGGTTCAGGGGGTTAGCTGCCACTGCCCATTGCTCCCCTGGTTGCAAGTCTCATGGGGTCCATTAGAGGTTGGGGGATATGTGACTATGGGGGAATCATAGCGGGGTGCTCCTCGGAGGGATTGCATGCACTGGGTCCTTTGTTCTGAGTGAATTTATCTCTTTCTTGCAGGTGGAAGTCTTAGGGGAGGTATCAGGGGAGGGTCTTAATAGAATATTCATCAGCTTTCCAGGTGTGCTCTTTCAGGGTCGTGGTCTCCACTGATTGGTCAGTGCCAGGGCTGGTCCGACCAATGTAGCTGGTCCTGAGGCAGCCACAGTGTCACTTGTCTGGTTTTGCTGCTTTTCTTGGCCTGGAGCTGAAATACAACTGAGGCCTAGATGTTATCTTTAGGGAGGAAAGGGGGGGCGGGTGCAATCAGCAGATATGCTAGGGGAGGAAAGGTTACCCTGGAGGTGAGGTTCTTGTTTTTCCAGTTTTGTCACCTGCCAGGCATCTGGTGAGCTTCTGTACCTGGCCCATTGTCTCTGCTCTGTGGTCTAACACTTCAAAATGTTAAAAACAATTTGCGAGAGTTATATATGTGTTTCATTATTAACATATAACGAAATCTAGCATCTAGTCTAAGAACTACCATTGTTTTGAAGAAGTGATAAGCACAAATAACATTTTGACCTATCTATAACAACTCTGATGGGTTATGAAACCATCTGTGCTTTCATAGGTAACCAAGTCACAAGTATTGCTAACACGGTTGAGGTTTGTTGGTTACATTATAATAGAAGGAAATGCTAGAATTTCAGTTAGAAATTAGTGAAAATAAGTATATATATTCTTTATTGATCCAAGCTGAAGGCCCCCTGCATTCACTCTCTGGTTAAGAACCCCTGCTTGGGAATACCAAGCTGGGGAAAGGGGGAGTTCTGAAACTTTTTATTACTTTTCCTGGGACAGATATTTTGGGCTTGTAATAAATCCAATTACAGTTTTAGTCCCTGCTGAGGTTCTATTATAATTTTCTTTTGTTTTATTTGGAATACAAAGGAGCAAGTTTTCCCTCTAATCTATTTGTGGAGACCAACATTCTACAAGGACTTAAACAAAGACATCTCAGGGAGAGTATTTGCATAAAATATTCATTTCTCCCAATGCAGTTAAATGGATGCCTCTTCAGGAACAGTTCTTGCTTTCAAAGGTGATCACAAGGTCATCTATTTTCCCAGGGGGAGGAAAATTTGTTACATGAAGAAGCTAGAGGGCTTAGGGCCCTTTGGGGGGAATTTTCTTGAGGAAGCTATAAACAGAGAGAAAGGGATCTTGGAATTCTAGAGTGATGGAGAGGCTTCTTGGAGCAGAGAAGTAGATCAGAGTTCAAACGGGAAGGCTCAGTTAGGTAAGAGATGGGAAGTGTGTTCAGGAAGTGGAGAGTCAGCTAGCTTTGGCCCAAGTGAAAGAATGAGGGACTATGAGCCTAGACAGGTAGATTGAAGATGGTTGTGATGGATCTTCACTGACATGCCAGGATGTGGAACATTATTGACAGAGGGAGTCAGTGAAATCTTTTAGTAAGAATGAGATAAAAAAATTTCTGATGCAGGAATATCAACATGACCACATGTTTTTAGTTGAATTGGGTGTGGGAAGCAAATATGGACAATAGTTTGATAATCCGGGAGAATGAAGGTACATTGACAGAAATGGAATTTCCAGTTGGCAGGCAAGTGGTGGTGCCGAAGGACCCAAGCCATCTTGGTAAAGCATAATTCTTAGTTTCCTTTGGTAGAAACGGGACCCTATAGTCAGTGCCATCAGTTGACAGAGAGAGAGAGAGGGAAAGCAGCAGGGCTGAAAGCAGCTAAGATTTGTGGGAAAATGATTACTTCCATTTAGCACAAGTTGTATTAGAAAATTTTCAGGAGGTCAGCCTGGGGAAAGGTCTCTGAAGAAGAGACAACTGAAACCATGGGAGTGGATACGATTTTCACAGACTTACTGGGGATATATAACATTAATGTGTCTTACCTTTTTTTAAGGGAATATAAAGGGGCAAAAATAGAGATCTAAGAATTCAGTTTTGTTAAGCAGTAGATGGTGGTCCTGGTGTTGCCTGCTCCAGTGAGGTCTGCGATGCTAAGAACTGTAAGAGGTGCCATTGATTTGCTCATGGGACACTGGCAAAGGAGAGCATCAGTAAAGTGGACAGGGGAGTCAAATGCAGGATTTGAGAGTGAGTGGTGAGACAAAGGAAGATAAATCCCACATGATTTCACTTATATGTGGAACCTAAAAATCAAAATAAATGCACAAACAAAACAAACAAGAATAAAAGAGTGAGTGGTAAAAAAGAAACCAGGTGTGCATATGGAGGTCTGACTTTGAAAGAAAGATGTAGGAAGAGAGCAGGAAAGTCACAGTGTTATAGTAATAAGTTTGAATTTATAGTGATAGGAAATAAAATTGTATTAGTGTGTGGTTTGATATTATAAAGTTCATTCTAAAACTCCATCTTATATTGGAGGCATAACTTCATTTTGTATTAGAAGTGAAACTTAACCTGTGTGTGTGTGCATCCCAGATAAGTACTTTGCAAACCCCTGTGTGTGTACCCCGATAAGCCCAGAAGGCACCACCGGAGCACACTGATAAGAGACACTGAAGAAGCCCCTCCATCGGGTATAAAAGAAGGACTCTCACACCAGCAGTCAGACGCCTGTCTGCCCTCCACAGACGAGACGTTCTCCTTGCCCCTGGAACTTCTGCCACTCCTGCTCTGCCCTGAGCCCAGATTGTTAGAGGCCTCTCTTTGTGTCAAGAGACCGAGCACCTGCAGCTGCGTATCCGACGACCTCCGTGTGTCTCTGTCAGCGAGTGTCTCCGGGTGGCCTGCCAAGGACTGAAACCCATCTGCTCTCTGGTAAATAAACCTGTGTGATTCTTGTACTCTGTCTCCTGTGTCTCCTCTCTTCTTAGTTTTGGTTTAAGCTCGGCCTAAATAATAAAGTACCCTTTGACGTCTGTATTGGTATATCCAAATGAGGCTCACTGGGTCACCTGTGCATACATTCCCATAGAAGTGGAACACACAGGATTAAGTTACTGGGGGTGCATGAAATTAATGTGTTTTACTTTTTTCTACTTACCTTTTTTAGTGATCAGAAATGAGTGAACAGCCAGAAAAAACCACTTCCACTGAAGAGGGACACACAGGTCAAAGTTCTCCTGAGAAAAACTGTCAAATCGGACAAAAGCAACTGGTATGGCGTATGGATATTACGATTCCATGGAATTTGGGGAGTTTCCAGCATGGGGGTTCCTGAGAGGCCCCAGATTTGCAGGGAAAGGTGTGCTAACTCAGGACTCCTCACAGAGGATTTCTGCCCCCTCCCCATAATGATGGGGCTTTTCTTCCTCTTAACTCTACTCATCGCTAAGCTGGTCGCACCTCATGTATCTCCGCTGTGCCTCTCAGTTTCAGAATTTTTATTAATTCTTGTATTGAGTTTATTAGAATGACATGGATTAATAAAATTACTAGTATATAGGTCTCGGGTGTACAGCTATATAATACATCATCTTCATATTGTATTATGTGTTCACCACCCCAAGTAAAATCTCTTCCATCAACATTTATCCCCCCTTTTAATCACTGTATTATTGTCTGTGTCTATGAGGTTTTTTTTTCTTAATCCCTTCACCTTTTTCACCCAGTTCTCAACCCCCCTTCCCTCTTACAGCTGTCAGCCTGATCTATGTATCTATGAGTATGTTTCTATTTTGTTAGTTAGTTTATTTTATTCATTAGATTCCACATATGAGCAAAATCGTATGGTACTTGTCTTTCTCTGACTGGCTTATTTCACTTAGCAAAATACTCTGCAGGTCCATCCATGCTGTCACAAAAGGTAAGATTTCCTTATTTTTTAAGACTAAGTAGTATTACATTGTGTAAATTACCACAGCTTTCTTATTCACTTATCTACTGATGGCACTTGGGCTTTGTACAAATCTTGGCTATTTTAAATAACGCTGCAACAAACATAGGGGAGCACATATATTTTTCAATTTTCAAGTTGTGTTTCAAGTTTTTTTGGATATATACCCAGAAGTGGAATCATTGGGTCATAGGCAGTTCCATTTTTAATTTTTTGAGGTAACTTCATACTGTTTTTCACAGTGACTACACCAATCTGCATTCCCATCAACAGTTCATCAGGGTTTCCTTTTCTGCACAACCTTGCTAACACTTGTTTGTTGATTTATTGATGATAGCCATTCTGAGGTGTGAGGTGATGTTTTAATGTGGTTTTATTTGCATTTCTCTGATGATTACTGATGTTTAGCATCTTTTCATATATCTATTGGCCATCTGTATGTCCTAAATGGAGAAGTTTTAATTCAGGTCCTTTGCCCATTTTTTAATTGGATTTTTTTTTTTTTTTTGGTGTTGAGTTGTATAAAGTTCTTTACAAATTTTAGATATTAACCTCTTATCAGATATATCATTGGCGAATATGTTCTCCCATTCAGTAAGTTGTCTTCATTTTGTTGATGATTTCCTTTGTTGTGTAAAAATGTTTTAGTTTGATGTAATCCCTTTTTTTATTTTTTATTTTGTTTCCTTTGCCCAAGGAGATATATCAGAAAAAATATTGCTACAAGAAATGTCTGAGATTTTTACTGTCTATGTTTTCTTCTTTATGGTTTCAAGGTCCACCATTTAAATCTTTAATTTATTTTGAGTTTGTTCTTCTGTATGGTGTAAGAAGATGGTTTAGTTTCATTTTTTCCCCATTTATCTGTCCAGTTTTTGTAACACCATTTATTGAATAGTCTATCTTTATCCCATTGTATGTCCTTGCCTTGTTTGTCAAATATTAATTGACTATAAAGGCATGGGTTTATTTTTGGGCTCTCTATTCTGTTCCATTGATTTATATGTCTGCTTTTATGCCAATACCATGCTGTTTTGATCATGATGGCCTTATAGTATAGTTCTATATCAGGTCGCGTGATACCTCCTAGACATGGGTCTTTTTCCTTCTTCAGGTCGTAGAAGTTTTCAGTCATTATTTCTTCAGATTGTTTCTCAATCCCTTGCTCTTTCTCTCTTTCTTCTGGTACTCCTGAGATATGGATGTTGTTATGCTTCATGTCATCCCAAAGGTTCCTTAAACTATTTTCATTAAATTTGTTTTTCTTTGTGCTGCTCTGATTGGGTGTTTTCTACTATCATTTCCAAATCGCTTGTTCCATCTTCTGCTTCATTTAACCAGATATTGTATTCTTCATTTCTGACTGGTTATTTTTTTATGGTTTCTGTGACATTTTTTATCTTCCATCTCTTCGTTGAATTTTTCACTGTGTTCCTTGAGCATCCTTATGATTGTTTTTATGAACTCTACTAGTGGCCCGGTGCACGAATTTGTGCACATTGAAAGGGAATTAATTAGAAGAAATATTTTAATATCACTATTTGCCAAGTCCTGGGTGCGGGTATTCGGCTCCCTCCTCCCTCCTGTCAGAGTCTGGGCCGGCGCCCGCAGGGATGCAGTGTCAAGTCCTGCCGGCACTGCGAGACCCAGAGTCAAGTCCCCACCCACCCGCACGCGCCTCAAAATTGCACAAGACCCAGACCCGCCGGTGCCTGCAGGGATGCAGCGTCAAGTCCCTGCCCACCCGCGCACACCTCGCCATGCACGCAGCCCCGCCCACCCGTGAGTGCCTGCCATGCACGCAGCCTCCTGGTGATCGTTTGTTACAGCATGAGGGCATCACGACTACAGGCTTTTTATAATATAGGATATCTGGTAAATTGCTTACCTATGCTTCATTTAGCTTTTTTTTTCTGGAGATTTCTCCTGTCCTTTCATTTGGGGCATCTTTCTTTGTCCCCCCATTTTGACTACCTTTTGTCTGCATTTTGTTTGTTTATATATTAGATCTGCTATGACTTCCAGTCTTGGAAGGGTAACATCATGTAGTAAGTGTCCTGTGGGACCCAGTGATGCAGTCCCCTTGATCACCTGAAGTTGGTGATCCTGGCAATGTCCCTTATGTGTATTAAGTGGACCTCCCTGTTGTACTTAAGTATTGCTTTCTATTAGCCTGTTCATCTGTGGGGTCAACCCTCAGACTGGCTGGCTTTCAGTGTACAAGTTGCTGTACCTCAGAATAGAATTTGCCTCAGCAGGGTCTGGTACCTGTTGAGTTCTCCCTTTGGATATGCTGCTTGTGAAGCTATTTGGTTTCTGCTCTGCTGTTGTCTAAAGCTGGCCACTGGCTATATTGGTTCTGTGCCTTTTGGGAGAGACTCTAGTGCAGGTCCATGTCAGATGCTGCCTGTGACTGGCCCTGGGCAATCTCTTTGAAGCTACAAAGCAATCCATAGTTTTTGGCTGCCTCTGCTGAGCCTGAGTGTGTGCAGGAAGGACCAAGCTGTGCACCAAGGCCATCTCTTACCAGCATCTTTTGAAATTCAGCAAAAGTTCCAAGGCACCCCAAGATCCACCTCCACCTGCCTCCATCTGCTGGCTGCCTGTTAGGCTTAGTCACTGAAGAGCCTCTAGTGGTACTTGAGTTGCATGAGGTAGGTTCACTGTGAGTCACCAGGTAGAAATGAATGGTGTTCACCAGATCAATACAGTTTCAAACTCTGAGCCAATGCTGGGTCTGAGGCCATTCAACAAATGTCCCAGGGTATACCAAATCTAGCTGTCACCTGCTGAATTTTTGCACACCTTATGGTGGGGGCAAGGTCTCAGGGAGTTATCAGGCCCAATGAGACCAAAATTTGGTTGTGTAAAGGGAAGGCTCTGCTCGATTTTCACAGACAGATGCTATGTGGGCACCTCTTCCCATCTCTGCTTCTCAGGACTGGGGACCCAGCTTGGGGTTTATGCCCCACGTTTCTCAGGAGGAACCTTTGCAGCTGAGATAACACTCCAGAATCTCAGCTGCCGCTTGTGGGAGTAGGGCTAGCCCTTTTCTCGCCTCCACCCTTCCTACCAGTCTCAATGTGGCTTCTTCTATAAATCTTTGGTGATAAGACTTTTCTTCAGTGAATCTTCACTTGGCTATTCAGGTTGATTGTTCTCTATTTTAATTGTGATTCCAGTTTTGTTCTGGGAAGAGGTAAGTGTAATGTCCCCCTACTCTGCCACCCTCTTGGATCCCTCCTATTTATTAATTATTGTATTATTTTCCATATGAATAACTAAACCTACTTTTACCCCTATACCCTTGTATAGTAGCCTTGTATAGTAGCTTATATGTTTTTGGGCCACTCAGGTTATCCTTATAAAATCCTTTAAAAGAGCATTCCCTTCCCTCATTACATATATGACACATGTTCAAAATAAGACATCGGGATTGCTTGAAGCATCTTTGTTACTTGTGTTCCTGATTAAGCCCCATTAATTTGGAATTATAAATAACCCCAAACAGAGACTTTTGAAAATTTACACTAACACTCTAGACAGCATTTTAGCAAGATTTTCTTTTTCAAATCTGGCTTTGACTGAGAGTGTAAACTTCATTTGGCTGTGGTCTGCATCGGAGCCCTGGTAGAGCCCACACTCCCAGGGTATCAGTCCTCCTGAAATGTCCCAGAGCACGGAAGGGAGGACTGCGTGTACTTGGGCTCTCTGTGATGTGACACAGTTTACCTGGGCTTCTTCAGCTGACAACTGTGGAAAGGCCTTTGCTCCTTTGTCCTTCTCTACCTCAAAATGCTAATTCTCACTTTCATCCCCATCATGTTTGAGGAGCCAGCTGGTGTTTTGCTAGTATAAAAAGAATTATGTTCCCATTTGTTTGTTTGTTTTTACATATGTTTTATACTATGGATTTCTTTGTTCAGAAGAATGACTTAACTTGAGAAAATTTACATAATCTTCTGGAACTTAATCAGATTAAACTGGTTATTTCTCTAGGTAATAGTATCTGTCCTCCATGCCATTATGGTAAACATTACAGAAAATTTATTTTGACGCAAGGTAAAATAGATAAAGCTACCCAGTTCTTACTGCTAATACGTTTTATTTGTTTCATAGCAACAGATAGAGCGGCAGTTAAGATGCTTGGCATTTCAAAACCCTGGACCCCAGGTAGCAGACTTTAATCCTGAAACACGACAGCAGAAAAAGAAAGCCCGGATGTCAAAGATGAATGAGTATTTTTCTGTGAATTACAAGTAAGATCATGATTTATTTTATTTGATCTCTGGGATAATAAAATGCACGAGTTCTACTTGACAAAGCAAAGTAATTAAAGGTTGTCTCTTGTTTATGATTTAAATATATGTTTTCTGAAGTACAGTGTCACCCGATGTATCTGGAAGTTAGTAACTTTAAGAAATAAACGATAATCCCAAACTAGAATTCAATTTCAAAAAAAAAGCTTCAGAGAAATTTAGTAGGAAAAATGATTAAAAGTAAGATACATCATTTGAAGGAGAAATAATATAACCATGGGAGTGGATTCAGATATCAAATGAGCACGAAGTGTCATAAGTACAATGATTGCTAGTGCATCAGAAGTATAAACTAAGTAAGCCACAAAGAAAAAGCTTGATAAATTCTACTACTTTGAAATTAAGGATTTATAACCAATAAAAGACACCCTAAAATAATGATACACAAATCACAAGGTAGGAAAAGTTACTTATAATTTAAAAGATTAGTGTCCAAAATCTATAGAGAATTCTACAAGTTAATTTTTTTAAAAAAGGTAAATTTCCTCTGAGAAAAAAATGAACCAAACAATGAACAGACATTTCATAGAAGAAAAGGCTAATAAACACTCAGGATAATGAGCCCCATCACTAATGTATGGAGAAGTGCCCCACTCCCCAGACAGCAAAGAGTTCAGTCTGATAATATCAGTGTTGATGAAACTATAGAACACATATTGGCTGAATTTCCCAGAACATCACTGCCATATAATATTTTGAAGTGTTGCTGGGTAATCTCTAGGGTACTGTTTCCTCTGAATAAAGGGATCACATTAATGAAGTTGTTGCATAATAATTTATCTCAGTGTTGAGGAACATTGCACTGTTGTGTTAGTGTCATTCTTTTTCTTTGCAGGATTATGAAGAAGTATGACAAAAGTGGCCGGCTAATCTGTAACGATGCTGATCTGTGTGACTGCCTGGAGAAGAACTGCCTGGGCTGCTTCTACCCCTGCCCCAAGTGTAACTCCAACAAGTGTGGGCCCGAGTGCCGCTGCAGCCGGAAGTGGGTTTACGATGCCATTGTCACCGAGTCTGGAGAGGTCATCAGCACCCTGCCATTCAGTGTTCCTGACTAGGAGCCATTACATGTGAATTGATTTATTTCTTCTTCTTTACACTTAAGCCAACCCATTTATCTTGGTGAATTGTAGGGCATGGGGGGGGGGGGGGGGGGGGAATGTTGGAAAAAGCATACTTAAGCGTCGTGTTCTCCAAAGCTGTAACACAGTGTAGAATGGACAGTCATTCTATAACCTTCTTACTGTGTCTTCTCAAATTCTTTCACTTGGGAAGACTGTGATAGTGGATGGATCTCTGTTTCTCTCATCAATACTTCCATCTCTACTCTCCTCAAATTTAAAATCTCTTTTTTGCTGGTACATCTGAGAAACTGTAATTTTAAGATTTTCAGAATTCTTTGGCTTAAAGTTTTGTTTTTTTACATAGAATCATACATTTATAATACCTAGTGATCCTTAGAATTGTACACATCACTAGTTCTAAATCAGAATTTCTATTTGGACTTTAAAAAAAGGACCCAAACCTTATGACTTTGCATTGCATATTCATAGTCTCATTTGTTATTGTTATTTTAATAATAATAAATTTGGTAATGTTTTTATTAAAAATTTATATTTTACTTGTAAAGTTGAGAAATGAGGACTTGCATATCTTAAAAGCCGGTGGTTTACATTGTTTTCATTCAGGCTCAGTATCTCAAAATTAGTTTTCAAAAGAAGAAAACTTAAGTTATTATACAAATGTGAGTTTGTTGTATGTTTGCTAATTAAGTGTATGGCTATGCAGTTGAATAGATATATGCTGTGTGTTTTTTCAGATCTGATGCATTGTGGGAGGTTTATAGAAAGTTGAGCTGTCTTCTTTGAATTTGGTTTTATAGTCCCATTTACCTTAAGTTGGTAGACTTGTATCATAGATTTTTATTATCCTACATCCAAGTTTCTAATTCATTAGGTTGAATTTGCATTTCCAAGGTGATATTGGTGCTGCTGGTGTGGGGCCAGCCTTTGAGAACCATTTCTTTAAGTTATGGAAAGGTTTAAGTAGATAATTGAATAAATGCTTTAAAACATTATTAAGCGTATTTAATTTGAAAGTAAACTTTTCAACGTTTTATTTTTCCTCTATAATCATTTTCAAAAGCATTTATTTCTTCACAGTCCACATGTCTCAGGGAAGGGTCCTGATAATTCTAGGCTTGTTAGTTCACAGTATGTTTTGAGACTAACATAACAAAAATTTTAGAAGACCTATTTTGACTACAGTACCCCTGTGTGTGTAGCAGGAGAACTTACTCTGTTTCCCACAGAATTTACTGAGTTTTCCAGATTCAACTCACTTTTACTGAGACAAACACTATGCTAAGTGCTTCTAGTTCATTACCTGTGATCATCACGGCAACTGAGGAAGATAGGAACTCAGATCACCGGAGTCAGACCCTTTGAAATGCCTACCAGGAGCGTGCAGCCCTGAAACCAGTCAAAAGGAGTGGGGGGCTTTCTTGGTTTATGTTTTGTTTTGAGAATAATTGTTATTTTATAAATAGCTAACCAAATGCATTATTTTATTACTTATTTATTTTACAATCACATAATTTTTTACATTGAAAGTAATCTTACAGGTTGTCTAAATAATAAACTAATCAGCAACTATGAACCAAGAGGCTTCTCTGTGCCAGGCCCCAGGCTGGGCACAGGGGATGGAGCAGTGAGTGAAACCCAGCTGCTTCCTGTCTTCACAGGGTTTATAGACTACAACCAATCTTTTTTGTTTGCTTTGTTTCTACAACAGAGGAAATTTACACCCAATGAGATAAAATGACTCTGTTAAGGACACATGGGAGAGCTGGCTACCTTGGTGTTTAGAACCCTAAGACTAGGTGAGTGTTCTCTCCAGGACACCAAGCATTTCCCACATTGGCCTGATTGTAAAACGTATCCAAGTGTTTTTCATAATACACATTCCTGAGCCCCATCCCAAACCTCAGGAATCACCACCTCTAGAGATGAGACCTGGGAATTCATATTTTTAAACAAGCTCCCCAGGTAAGTCTCAGAGCAGGTAAGTTTGAGAAACACTGCCTTATCACTAGTTGTCCAGTTCTCTTATTAAAAAAGAATCTTAGGCAAAATAACACCCAAGTACCTTTCCCTTTTGTCTCCTCTTGTCATTCAGTCTTAATCATTAGATGAGATAATCTGCTTTAAAAAGTGTGTTGGTGAATTATGCTGGTAAGTTTCCAAGGTAACGCAATAAACAAATAAGGTAAAATGAATGGCAGTTATTAAGCAGATACCTCATACACCATGGGGACCTGGTAAGACATTTGATGGAGAACTTTTTTAAAAATCAGGTTATTTCATCCTGACTAATGTCAAGTCTATGCATTTGTTAAAAGCCTCCTGCACTAAATGATCATTGCAAAAATAAATTTATGTGAATTGTCAGAAACCTATTTTGCAAGTGTCAATTTTATCACAGAGTGAACAAAACTCTTCAGTTATTTGAAATAAATTCAGATTAACAGAGAATATAGCCACACTATTTGATTACATTAACTAAGGAAATTGTCTTGTCATTGTATTAGGATTTTTCTCTTCCTGCTTGGCAATCTTTGAATGCTGACAGGGTGTCTAAATGAATATGTATAGAAATGGTAAGGAAAGCTATTTCACAGAAGATCATTTAAATATAAGCTGTTACAAACTGAAGAATTTAGACAAGTCATCCTGTACCAATTTATACAAATTGGAATGCCATATCACATCAGTTTGCAGAATGACTTTATCTGAATCTAATTTGTAAGAATTAAAGAATATCCATAGTGTCCTTTTGTACCCAACCTCCCCCCCTTCCCCCCACCCACACAGTATCCTAGATCCATTTCAGCTATAAACATTGGGATGCTAACTGATGGAAAAATCATTTGATCTCTCCTTTATATATTTATTTGCTTTTCTGGAAAGTGAACAAGGTCATCTTGGATATTTGGTGGATATCAGGATTATGGTTCTATAACGCCTAGGAAACTTGAGCATTGACATGAGCAGGCCGCAGTGTTTGGCTATGAAGGCTGTTAGTGGCTTGCATGCAGGGGTTGCCTTCCACATCATAGACGACATAGGCAACACTGCCAAGAATGCCCCTAGGGCTGTACCGCCAAGGGCCCTGTGAGCAGGTACCATTCGATGTGTGGATTTCTTGATTGTCTAGTCTTTATTGACTTTTAGTATGTTCTAAGCATTGAGTGCTTTAGATTAGCTTACATTCTTGTATAAAATAATGTAAAATGAATGGCAGTTATTAAGCAGACACCTCATACACCATGGGGACCTGGTGTATTCTTGTTTCTTTCCTTTCTACTTTTTCCTTCTTGCCTTCGCTCTCCATGGGGTCTATAACAGTTTTTGATTATTTAGGAAAGTGGTCCATATATCTGATCTAGCCTAAGCAGTTTTCATACTTTGTTTCCTTTTCAGAATCTATACTTTAATCCTAGATTTGGAATGTTCTTTTTCATATTCACAGATTTCCTAAACTTCTGCTTTTTCCACAGTATTTTCTTCACTCTATGGGAGGAAAATGACTCTCTTATCATCACTATCCGTGTATAACAAGGAGTTTATTTTGTGTTTATAGTGTTAGCAGTCTTCTCCCCCCTTCACTTTTGTATAAGCTGTTTGTTCTTTTTAAATTGGCCAATGTGTAGGTGAGATAGAACAATTTCAAAGAGATTGGGGACAGAATTTGTTTTTTCTTCAATAATGCATTTAATAGCTGTGTATGCTTAATAGATACATCACTTAATGATCATTCATTCATTCATCAAGCATCTGTGTCTGAGGTCTCTATCTAGTCTGCCTGCCTCTCTCCACATTACGAATTGTCCTGATTTGTTTTATTTACAATGTCAAACTGTTTTAGCTATACTTACCAAGAGGAATATTAAAAAGAATGTCTTTCTGGAAGTGGAAGTCTCTTGTTGGGCTTTGGTATCAAGGTTTATGATCCTCACAGTGAAGTTGGGACAGCTTTGTCTTTTTTTCTTGTCATCTTTGTTTGTTCTTTTTAAATTGGCCAATGTGTAGGTGAGATAGAACAATTTCAAAGAGATTGGGGACAGAATTTGTTTTTTCTTCAATAATGCATTTAATAGCTGTGTATGCTTAATAGATACATCACTTAATGATCATTCATTCATTCATTCATTCATTCATTCATCAAGCACCTGTGTCTGAGGTCTCTATCTAGTCTGCCTGCCTCTCTCCACATTACAGAATTGTCTGATTTGTTTTATTTACAATGTCAAACTGTTTTAGCTATACTTACCAAGAGGAATATTAAAAAGAATGTCTTTCTGGAAGTGGAAGTCTCTTGTTGGGCTTTGGTATCAAGGTTTATGATCCTCACAGTGAAGTTGGGACAGCTTTGTCTTTTTTTCTTGTCATCTTTGTTTCAGATGACATTGTTATTAATTTTTTTTAAATATTTGTGGAACTTGCCAGTGAAGCCATTTGGGCCTGGAGAGTTTTTTTTATAGGAAGGTTTTTAATTATACATTTATTTATAAAAATTGTTATAATCTATTTTCTTTTATTCTTATGTTAATTTTGGAGAGTTACATTTTTCTAGGAATTATTCATTTTACCTAAATTTTCAAATTTGTGAAATAAAGTACAAAATAAAATCTTATATAATTTTTAATTATAAATTATTCCCCCCAGATTTTAGTTATAGACTATTGAAAAGATAATGCAAACCAGCATTCTTTCAATAAATTCCTTCCCCCCTTAAGTTAGTCAAAGTTGGATTCTCTTGCTTTAAAGCAAAACACCCTAATACAGGTATCATGCAGAAAATGGAGAGACGCTTACATTTATTTGCAGCCAATTCCTTTTCAACAATTTCTACAAAAAATGTACTCCTTCTCTTCCTAAGGTTACGTACCTATTGCCTGATTCAAGAGGTCTGAGCTAGAGGCCCTCCTATTCTTTTCAACACAACAGGAACCGGTATGAACCAATATGCTCCCAGCAATGAAAAGTGAAAAAGTGTTGATAGAACTCACAGAATGTTTCCACAGAAATAGAATACAAATCACCTAGCTTTGGAGGAGTTACTTCAAACATGTCCCAGAGAGAGGAGAGAGAGAATGAGAGAGGAAAAAAATGAGGGAGGAATGTTGCTTCTTTGAACTATTTGAAATTCAGAATCTCATTCTAGCTTTGAAATTTTCTATGCAGTATTTGGTGGCAGAGTAGCATTAAGTTATATTTTTTAATGATTTTTGCATATATTTTTAGAAGATGAGGTTTATTTGCATTTTGTAGTTTTTAATCCATTTTCCTAAAAGCTATGTAGAAAAGAGAAAATGTCCATGCGTGGTTTTGGCTCCCTCTGCTGGCCATTATATGTAATTTAGGTGTTACATACAAGGAAGGCAAGACACCACTATTGGAACAGATTGTTTTTATTCCCCCCCAAGTTTATTTCAGTTTTTAATTTAATGTTTCCAAACTTATGACAAGCTTGAAATTTTGGTAAATGTATATTTTATTTAGGTACTTTTTTGCTTCAAAATTATAACTGAAAACAAAGGATACATTGAGCAAAAAATAAAGTTTAGAAAATACTTCAGATAAAATGCATGCCTCCCACTGTCTCTTTCTCAAGTTGTCTATGGGAAAGTGCCAACTTATACAGACTGATGCTCTTACCTATTCCCATGGCCATGATTCCCTTGGTTCAATCAGCTCCCGCATCCTCCACAGCAGCTACTTAAATCTTTAGCCTCTAACTCCCCACCTCTTCATTCTCTCAGCAAGGTTTCCTCCTTCTTAGAAATGTTAGAGGTCACCCAACACAGATAATTTTGACATCCTTATGACCTCCCTGCCCCAAATCCGCATACAAATCTTTATCCATGCCTCTCCTTGCCTTCATCCCTCTGGATTCAGAGAAACACATTTCTCTCCTGTCAAAGGCCACGATTGGAATGACTTCTGAATCCCATTTCCCCTGATTCTTCAGGAGCGCTACTGTGTTTATCACTGTTAGTTCTCCTCTGCATTTTCTATATCTCGGAACTATTACTCTTTGGGGGCTTTTCATGATTAGGATATAGACATACTTATGTTAACTATGGTTTTTATCTGCAAATGGCTCTAATTTAAGCCAGAAAAGAAAAGGCCCCCCACATGTATGGAAATGTGTACCCACCTTGGGAAAAACAGGTGCCCAAGCAGCTCTGTGGAGCTGGATAGCATTGCATCATGGGCAGTGTTTTCTAGGTCTAAGATTAGGCCTGAACAATCATACATAGGTTTTATAACCAGAGCCAGGCTCCTCATCATTACTGGGGTGAATCAACTCCAATTTTTTTTTTGTCCTGGTGTCAATCACTCAAGTTTTGATGTCTGTAGGGAGAGTGTCAGGAGGTCCTAAGGTAGGTCAGGGAACCACCCTCCACCAAGTTAGCAGTCC